CTTGGAATCCTGGTGTGCTTCTATAAGCCTTGGTTAATGATATGGCTCAAGGACTCAGGAGATGAAGGGACTACCTAGTGGATGATGTGTAATCAATGGGCTTTCAGGAGGAGTTCTCAGGTCTGGTCATTACAACCATTCTAGGCGGCTTCCAAACAGATAAGCAGCTGATCTTTTGTGCTTCTTGACTTTTTAAAGTTCCCTTTCTTTTCAGTTGGGTATAGGGAGTTTTCAGTTAAGCATTTAAGTATTGATCTTGCCATTACTCTTGTGAGAATGTGTTCTTGAAAGCTTTAATGGCTGGGATCCGATGGTGGTTGTAGGTTTTTCTGGCTGTTTGGCCGTGTTCCGGAGGTTTTTCTTCCTAACATTTCGCCAGTCTCTGTGGTTGGCATCTGCAGAGGACAGGAGTTAGAACTCTGTGTTCTGGTGTATGTGTGGGATAGTTGAGTATTGTCGCTGTAGGATCAGCATTTTGTCCTTTTCAGGGGATTGGGTGATTATGGTGATCAGGATGTGTTTTGTTATGGGTGTATAAGGGGGGAGATGGTCTGTCACTGTGATTGATGGGTGTCGTTAGCTAGTCTTTTGTGTGCAGTGATCACCAGTCCTTGTGGCTGCGTAGAGTCTATTGACCGATTTTTCCGGTTGTTTTAGTCTGCAGTGTCTTTCACTTTCTTTGATTCCGGTCTGGGTGCTTCATTGAACATTGTTGGATGGCTTGTAATTGGTCAATAATTACTGGGTTCATTGCCCTTTTGATGATCTTTTAGTATCAGAAATGTGTGGCCTGTTGTCATCCAATCTTCAGTTGTGGAATTTTGAAGTGGTTAAATTGCACTGCTATACGATGGAGACTTTTTTGAAGTGGTTAAATTGCACTGCTATATGATGGAGACTTAAAATGCTTTAAAACCAAAATCCATGCAGCTAATCTGGACCCGGTGCACTCCAATTTTTCAAATCCTTTACTTGCCTCTTAATCATTTTAGTTGTTATTACAGTATCATCCACTAGTTTTCCTTGAGTTTCTCTACAAATGCTTTTAATCCATGAGGCATTTTTTTATGTCTAGTTGGGCTTGCCCACATTTCTTTCCAAAATTTTAGAGCATCATCTTTACATGGGCCTAATTTCTTTTGCTCTGCATTTTCTCTTAGTGATACGTAAATTAATCATTGGTTATTTCACAATTGTGTGTTTTCTCTATATTGTTTCAAGCAGCCATCATATCTTTCAATTTTCTTTGCTGTAGCTGTTACCCGTTGTTTTAATTCTTCCTTAGTTTCAACAATTGTTTTCCTTTCCATGTCATATATTTTGCAAAGTCTGGCTTTTACTTTTTCATTTTTAAATGTCAAATCTTTCAAGTGTTTTAAGTTGCTACTATCTGCACGTAATTTATTTATTTTTCTTTCCAGCCAAATTTTCCATTACAGAGTTGCAGGAGTTTTCTGTTGTTGTTTTTTTAAACAGCTTGTAAGCATATTCTATGGTTATTATGGTAGCTGTACTATACAGGAGCTGGTTTGTTTCCTTTAGTGTGTTGTTTAGGATTGTTCTGATGACTACATTTGCATCACCCAATAGGTATTTTACTGGTTTACTTTGTAACTGGTGCAAAGTGCGGAGCCTTTGTCTCACTGTGTTTTGGCTAGTATGGGTTACTATTTTTCCCTCAGTGATGTCTGCTGTTCTATCAACTCATAATTTCTGGGTTGTTCCATAAGTTGTTCCTTTATTGATACATTTTCTTCCACTGTTGCATCTACCTCTGCCTTCCCTCTGTCTTCCATACTATGGTCATTGTTCTATGTTGACCTTTTTTACCACCTTTTCTAGTTCTTGCAATTCCAGTTCTGAAAACACTTTACTCCTGATGATAAACCTTCTCTGGTCCATTAATCGTTTTTCAGTTTTGTCACTAATTGGGTGTTTCCTTTTCCAAATTTCCATCTGAAAACCACAGACCATTGGGTTTGCCTCATAATAAATTTATTAATTTCTCAATTTTCAGCAAGAGTACAGGTTTTGCTTGTACAGGAGGCAGCAACAAAAACCATTGCAAAGAAAAGGAAATGCAAGAAAGCTGTCCAATGCGGCCTTACAAATGGCAGAGAAGAGAAGGGGGGAAAATGCAAGGGAGATAGGGAAAGTTACAGAAAATTGAATGCTGACTTCCAAAGAATAGCAAGGAGAGACAAGAGGGCCTTCTTAAATGAACAGTGCAAAAATACAGTGGTGCCTTGACTTATGAACGTCTTGACCTATGAACATTTTGATTTACAAACAGCTCCGTTCACAAAATTTTGCTTTGATTTGCGAACGGAGTTTTGACTTACAAACAGAAAAAGGCAGGGAAAGGGGGCAGGAAATTCAAATATACTAACTGTTGGTGGCGAAGAGGCTGCTCCTTTGTAGCTCTTTCGCCCCAACGGTTAGAGCAGGGGGTCAGGGAAATTTGTAACTTTTACAGTACAGGAAAATACTGTACCGGGAAAGGGATGCAGCAGGGGCCGGGCCAATGCTGGGTCCCATTCCCACCGAGCCAGGGACTGAGCACAGCCTGCTGTTGGCGGGTGGCTCCTGGGCTGCTCTTCGGGGCTCCTCGCCTGATGCAGCCTTCCATTGGGTCAGTCCCTGGCCCAGCAGGAATGGGACCCAGTGGCAGCAGTAGCATTGGGCAAGGAGCCCCGAAGAGCAGCCCAGATCCTCAGCACGGGGCAGAGGGGGGC